GGTACTGGAGAATTTATTTGCAGGGCAGCAGTGGAGAAAAAGACATAAAGAACAGACTTATGGACAAGGGGAGAGGGGAGGAAAGGGTGAGATGTATGAAGAGAGTAACATGGAATCTCACATTCCCATATGTAAAATAGATAGCCAATGGAATTTGCTATATGTCTCAGGGAACTCAAACAGGGGCTCTGTATCAACCTAGAGGGGTGGGATGGGGAGGGAGATGGGAGGGAGGGGACACATGTATACCAATGGCTGATTCATGCTGAGGTTTGACAGAAAACAGCAAAATTCTGTAAAGCAATAATCCTTCAATTAAAAAATAAATTAAAAAAACAAACACATGTCCTGATAAATTTGTTGCTATATCTGGTTTACTCTGAAGGCTGAGGCACCTAGAGAGACTAAGGAGGTAAACACAGCTCCAGAGGCTGGCTGGCTTGCTTCCTCTCTGCTGACAGTGGTGAGAGGCATTTCTGACGTGTGGTTGCAGGTGTGCTGACTGCCCACGTGACCTCCTCTCTCTGCAGAGGCTGTACAGTGCACTCGAGGGATCTCCTTCCGGGAGGCAGCTTCAGGCCTCACTGAGCTCCTTCCCTGCTTCTCACTTCTGCACCTCCTGTGCATCTTTCTTAGGGACTTGAAGCTAACAGCATGTTTAGGCAGCTGGCTAGGAAGAAAACCCAAGAGGAAGCATGGAGGAAACTCCTTCCGGGAACAGGCATTTTTTTAGACAGCCCAAATTAGGAATATTTGGTTCTTTGACCTAAAATTACAATACTTTGAGCCAAGATGAATTTGCAGTGATTTTTCAATAAAATGTACGATATGGAGGCACAAAACTCCACATAAGGCCTCACTGAATCTAACCATTCAACCTGAGCTTGAGCAATGTCAGTCTTCACACACAAACAGGTTCCCCAGTCACTTAAGATACACATAAATGTGTACGTGGCGATGACTGTCTTTAGTAGGAGGACTGGAATTTTACGGCACTTTAGGTCAACATTAGTTGAATTGCATGCTGTTAGGTATTACATAGTCTGTGCATAGCCTAGATCATACCATGTAGAATATAAAACAGGTCCAAAGTTACATCATGGCATGAGTGGTTGCTGTTACCTGTATTGTAATGGCATTGTAACACAACGACTGTGTCTCACTGACTGACACTGAGACCAAGACAGCCGCAGAGGACACGTCAGGGCAGTCCCTGGGAGAGATCTGTACCCCAGAGACAGAGCTGATTGTTTACATCAGCTATGAAAGTGCAAATACTCAATTACATAAGAAGGTGATACGGCACTTTTCAAGTGTTTTTCATGTCATGTGATTAACAATTAGCCATCCATCCATTCATTAACAAGTATTTATTAAATACTTACTAGGTACCCCAGAGGAGGAAATGGCAACCCACTCCAGTATTCCTGCCTGAAAAATTCCATGGACAGAGGGACCTGGGAGGCTACAGTCCAAGGGGATGCAGAGAGTCAGATATGACTGAGCAACTGATCATGGGCGCAGGTACCAGACACTGTTTTAGCTCTTGAGGTACAGTGTTACATAAGAGACAAGATCCCTTTCCTCATTGAGGTTCCATTTTAACGTGGACAGAGAACAGACAGAGAGGTAAATAAAAACAAATAATGGAAGACAAAGTGATAAATCTAAGAGTGAAAAACAAAATCTGAGGTGCTATGCAGCAACTGGTGGTCAGCTTCAGGTTTTCTGAGGCGTTGACACTTGAGCTAGAATCTGAAGGACAAAAAGGAACCTGCCACACCAGGACTTGGGAGAAGAATGTTCCCTGCAGAGGAAAGCGTGGAGACAGCAGGCAATGGGGCTGTTGTGCGAGATGAACAGAGAGCTCGGTGGTGCCCCTGGAGCTGGTGAAGGGCTGAGACGCAGAAGAAGCTGGAAAGGAGATCAGGTGCCAGGCCTGAGGCAGGATGATGACCAAAAAAAAAAAAGGAGGGTTTAAGAATGGAATAAAATGAGAAGCAGAAGGAATACTGGAACCAGATAATATAGAAATGGAGATTGGAAGCACTGAACTTGCCCCAGGCATGGTTTTCATCTGGGTCTCCCTGTTGTTTAGAACAGTCTCTAATAAAGCCGATCTGCGGTGCCATTCTTCATCAGTCTTGAAATGAAGAATGTGGCACTTTTCGGTCTCTTTAAGAATCTGAGATTCTATTACAGTGCCCGTTGGAATTTACCACTTTTTTCTTGATTACCAACATAGTACACATTTATGACAGAACATTTGGAAAATACAGATAAGCTAATGGAAGAAATTAAATCACTCCCAAGTACAGCCACCCAAGGATAACTACTGTGAGCATTTGGGCACAGACTCTCTTGACGATTATACAGTGCAGTGATTCAGAATACAGGCTTTGGAATCTGGGAGGAAATCATGACTTTATAACTTGCTAAATGAGAGTTGTCCATTTTCAGTTTATGTTAATTGCTTATAAAATGCCATGCAAATGTCTGCAATATCTTTAAGCCTCAGTTTTCTCATCTGCAGGANCTCCTCTGTCCATGGGATTCTCCAGGAAAGAATACTGGAGTGGGTAGCCATTCCCTTCTCCAGCAGATCTTCCCAACCCAGGGACTGAACCCAGGTCTCCCGCATTGCAGGCAGATTCTTTACCAGCTGAGCCACCAGGGAAGTCATTCCAAACACATTAGGTATTAAGCTATTAGAATTTTATGAACCTGGGATCATACTGTAAAGTTATCATTATATAAATTAGTATTCCTATTATCACTAGACATTTTTACATCGTCTTAAATATTTTTCTATGTTGTAGTTTTTAATGGTTTTATAGCATTTTACTGTAGAGATAATAATTTAGTTAATTCTGCTGTGGTACACTTGGGCTATTCCCAATTTTCACCACTTAAAAAAAATCTACAGATAAAACATTGCAAACTTTTATGACTATTTCTCTAAGATAAATTCTAAGAAGTGGCTGGGTCAAGTGGCATGTATATTTCCAAGACTCTGTGACACATTTTATTATGTCTTCTGCTAAGGATTTAGATTAAACCCTCGATAAGAATAACGTCGGGAAGTAAGTAGTCCACATATGTGTGCGGTTTCATAGGTCTGATTTACCATCAGCTTGGTGAAATACAACCCCCACCCCCATGCCTCATGCCTTTTTCCCCACACCTGTTCACACCTTCTGGTCAGCACCATCCTCTCTCAATCCTTAAGGAAGCTTCTCAGTTCCAGGCTTCCAGCTGAGCAAATATGCTTACAGTTTTCTGATTTGCTAGGAATTCTGCACTTAGTCACTTCACCTGAAGCTATAAATGGATAGCACTTTTAGTACATTAGAAACCCAAGCCCCTCATCTTATAATGCAGAAACTAAAGTGGAAGGGAGCAAATGCCTTGTTTAAGTCGGTCATCTGGTCCATGCCACTGCTGGACAGCAACTCAAAGCTAGCTCATTCCTTTATCTCTAATACCTAGTTCAGCAGCCAACATGTACAGACAGCCATTAATGTTTGCTGATAACTACTTGAAATAACGAGTAACAGCTCTGGTCTCTCAACTCCCAGGACATACCGGAGAAACCAGAAGAAAACTAGGCTTCCTGGGCTGAGATGGGCATCAGGTAGAGAAGGGATTCACCTAAGCTTGCCTTGTTTCAGAGAGAGCAAAGCCAGGGGTAAGAAAACAGGTAGTTGCTGGTAGGCCAATTTCAACCTAATTCAGGGAAGACCTTTTTAACAGTCAGGATTGTCCAAAACTGAAATAGATTTTCTTGAAAAGAAGTGAGCTGTTCCTAACTGGAAATGTTCAAATAGAAACAAGGTATGTCTGAATAAATAATTTGTCAAATATGTTTAAGAAGAAAAACTGTTTTGTGTGACTGGTTGGAATAGATGACTTCTAAGGTCTCCACCAGAAAGAAGATTAAGTGATTTTATGGATAGACAGATGGACAATTTTTTTTCTTGTTATGTTACTTTGTGTTTATGTCTTTCTAGTGTGGACCCATAGTCTCTTCTTTACAAATAGGAATCGATAAATTCTAAAGTCTTTTGTTCCCCAAGATTCTATGGTTCTAAGTAATCGTTTTAGTGCTAACACAGTAGGAATTCAAAAGAAACTTAAATTCTCTTTTAAGTCAGAAAATTCTACATTTAAGATAAATTGAGCTACAGCCTCCATGCAGTTGAATAACTGGAACTCAGCTGGTCTCAATCAAATCTATCAGTTGATCACATTCAAGAGTACTAAATATGCATTAACTTTTTTTTTTAATAAAAAGGTTAAAACTAAAAGAAGAAATTTGGGTGGACTGTATTGTGATGAGATTAAAGTGTTCTCTTACTAGGCTTCTGATTGATGATATGAAATTTGACTGGAATTATTTGGTTCATGGGGTCGCAAAGAGTCAGACACGACTGAGCAACTGAATTGATTTCCTAGAATATAGAGAACTTTTTAATATTAAATTGCTAGTATGATTTAATTGCACTTCGAGTATGAAATTACTGAAAGACTGCCCATTGTATAATACTTTTGTCCAAATTCTAGTGGTAAGACTGACACATAAATGAACCATATTACGGGAATACTTTCAATTTCCAAGATTTCCCATCAGTAATAGAAATGGAGGTCCTGACAAGTTCATACTTGGATTGGGTGAAAAGCTCCACTCTCAAATAGTCATCTCGCAAAGCTTTGGTGAGAATCATAGATGGGACCTGTGATGCATTCTTTGCAAATCTAACCAGGAAGGAAATGAATAAAAAACAGCCAAGGATGCCTTTTTTGGCTTCCCTTTTCCCTTTCTTTCTTTCCCCACTCCCTCTCTTATTAGAAGGTTAAACAAGGAAAAGTAATGTTCAAATTAAGTATTTAATTTATTAACACTGTCATTGTTTTGAACACTCTTAACAGTAAAAAAAAAAAAAAAGAAAGAAAAAGAAAAATTATGGCTCAAGTCAAGATGGGCTATCATTGATTAGAATTTCTCAGCTCTGCCTTTTTTCCCCACCCAGTGAGGAAAATGTATATTTCAGGGATAGCAAGATCCTCTATGTTTCAGACATTGTGCTAGATGTCAGATAGAGGGAAAAAAAAAAAAAAATCAGGCACGAAGCTTGACCTCATAGAAGCATAGCGAATGCATAGCATAGGCTCATCACGGGAGCCTGATGAGACTCAGTAGTTCTTCCTGACCCCAAACGCCAGACAGTCACTGCTAATCTACCACAGAATTGTAAGAGTTGACAACTATTAGTCATCCCATGTAGAAGTCAAAAGTTCTCTGGTAACCAGGTCTCATTCTAACAGTTATAGTCATGGTTTGTTCATGTCTATCAAGACCCATTTCAACCTAGAGGGCTGGGAGGAGCACAAAAAGGAGGGAGTAGATGTATATTTAAGATTCACGGTGCTGATTCACGTTGTCGGACGGCAGAAACCAACAGAACACTGTAAAGCAATTATCCTCCAATTTTTAAAAAAAGATCCACTTCTTATGTCTCTTTGACTTTTTGAATTCCACTCTCAGAAACATGAAACAGAAAAAATGAACCAAAAAGCTACCTCCACAGCTGCTTTCGCTCTTTCAAACTCTTCTTCTAAGGAATGGTTTCTGGAAAGCAAGGCACTCCCCCAGCGCTGCTCTTTGGTCAGTCGAGCCTGAAATAAACCAAACATAATTTTGGAATCACGTTAATATAAAATACAAACATTTTTCCTTTTCTCATAGTACCCTAGACTTGAAGAAGCACCTGTGACTGACGTCACTTTTGGAGTACTTTGCAAGCACAACGCTTCTTAAACGGGGACTGCCAAAACGTACGCCCCACTCACAAGCACGCATCTTCTAACAAAGAGTCTCAGCCGAGGTCACATTAAAACAACACCCAGGCCCCACCTCCCAAAGATCTTACATCTCATTGGTCTAGGTTCAAGGCGTTGATAGGTTAGGAAGTCTTCCCCATAGTCAGGCTGGAATCTCTGTTATGGAACACACCTGGAAGCTGATGTTTGCGCTTTCAGTTTGTTAGGAGGATCAGCCTCAGGTGAAGCTGCGAAGGCTGCAGCCACGGAAGGTAGCTGCTAGGCCTTTCCCCTTCCACTTGAGCTGGGCTTCATGCTGAATTCTCTTTCCTTTGCCTTCCCTCTCTTGGCACACATCTGTCTCATGCCACATTTCCTCAGGTCACTGCTCTCTGCTTAATAATCACTTGGATAAAATCATGTCTGATAATGCCAACTGCTTTGTCACAATTAACAGGAAATGTGATACACAACTTAGCTAAATGTAAATATTTTCAGAAGATCCCCCACAAAGAGTTTGCTAGAATTTAAAAAAAAAAATCTATTTTAAATTTCACAAACAATGATTACATTCTTTTTGAAAAAATTAATCATGGTAAATCAGAGACATAATTCTAGACATTTTCCCCTTGAATTTTCATGTATACTTATGCACCCATGGATAGAATATCACAGTGTTTCAAAAAGCTTTTGGAAAGGTAAATGGTGCTATTCTGTCGTTTGTTTTTTTCTATTCAGCAATGTACCTAGGAGAGTCTTCACACGTTGCATTCCTAGATCTACCTCAGTCTTTTCCCAAGGATTTCCTAGTAAGTATACACTGTATGTTGATTAGAACTCTCTCCATGAGCATTGAATGTGTCTGATTTTTCTCCATGTGATTGCTTGTTTTCTTATCTTCTTCTCTGATCCTCTTGCTCTGCTGTGGGGCCCACAGCGGGAGGACTTTGGTAACTCTTGTACTGCCCCACCCTGAGTCCAGGGTCTGACAAGTGATACATGCCCCAAGGATGCCTGCAGATGGATTGCTGGGGGAGGGCCAGCACCGCTAAGGCAGCTAGGCCTTGGGGAGCAGGGGGAGAGAGGCTCGGAGTCAAGTCGCCTACCCCCTTTCACTGCAGGGCAGCGGTGGCTCCCTGGCCACGTGGGAGATTGCTGTTCTGTAGGGGTGCTCAAGCCCTGCTTCTAGGGGAATTACTTGAACAGACCTGGGCTCCACTCCAGACCAATGAAGTGATCTTTGAAGGTGGGGCCCAGGAATTAAATGTTTGAAAGCTCTGTGGTGATTTTTAAAAGTAGTCACATTTGAAAACCAAAACTATGGCAAAACTTTGCTCTTCCCCCAGCACTTACCATCTATTCTGTTCGGTTGCTTTTCATTCTTTCTCCACCATTAGTGGTCCTCAAGAGGAACCCCCCTCTTTAATGACTACACAGTATTCAATCCCTGTGTTGGGAAGATCCCCTGGAAGAAGAAATGGCAACCCACTCCAGTATGCTTGCCTGGGAAATCTCATGGACAGAAGAGCCTGGCGGGCTACAGACCACAGGGTCATAAAGAATCAGACACGGCTTAGAGACTGAACACCACCAATACCAGGACTTACTACATGCCAGGTACTGCTTCAAGTCCTTTACCTACTGGAACTCATGTCTTTTCAACAACCTGAGGTAAGTACTAGCATTGACTTCATGACCCTGAAGCACAGAGGGCTGACTTGACTTGCCCCTGGTCTCACAGCTGGTTGAGCGGTAGGACCATTGCTTCTGGGCCATGCTGAAAACCACTGCATGCACTGCCTCTCACAGGAGGCTGTACTCAATTGGCCATTTTACGAAGATGCAAAATATAGAAAAGTTGTCCCTTGGAGACAGGGACATTCATGCAAGGTTGAGAGAGCTAGCCAAGAAGCTGTCTAGAATACCATGAGCTGAAAATAATAATAATAAAGTAATTACTAGGAATGTTTCTGAGCATAAACAAGTCTTAGACTGCCTTCTGCCTTAATGGATGTGAAAGGTTAATTTATTGGAACACTAACTTATGTTTTCTCCTCCTTGATGTATTTATTCCCTGCTGTATCCCTGGCCTCTCCTTCTAAGAGTAGGTACTCCACAAATAATCAGTAAATATACTGTCAGGGAATACATGAGTGACCAAATTAAAGGTATTTCTCTTCCCTACTCCCAGAAGGTAGCTGTGTGTTCTCAGTCAAGGTCTCAGGGCCAATCTGGAGGCTAAGGAGAGTTTATAGGAGATTGAAAGAGACTTGATTTTTGTGCTGTACCTGGACTGGCAGATGTCTATGCTAGTAAACCCTGGTTTGGGGGTGGAGTGTGGATGGCTGCAGGATGCCCTAGTGGGGTTCCTGGTAAAGAGCGATTCCTGTGAGTAGCTCAGGGTTGAGGCCTCTGGAGCAGTGCCTGTGGTCAGAAAAGGGAGGGTGATGAAGGCAGGTCAAGGCAGTGATGCTATTGCCTTGGCATCAGTGCCTTGCTCACTGGTGGATGAGGCTCAGTGGCCTCCCAAACAAGCATCCTCCCTTATTCTCTGTGCCCTGTGGAAGCTACTGTATTTTTCTAACCCAGAAAATTGAGTCAGGGAGGTGAACACTGACAGAGGTTCCAGAGATTAGGATATGAACGTGTCTTTTAGGGGGGCCACCATTCAGCCCACTGCCACCCTCATCCAACACTCTTGGGTGACAATATATTTGCTTAACAAATATAAAGGTACAGATGATGTATAACCTTTTAGAACTGATAACCTATTAGGATCTTACAGCCTGGTAGAGAAGTTAATGCCATAGATGATATGACTTTATTGTCTTATAGACAGTTAATCAAACTTGTATCTAACTTGGTAAACTTTTTATTTTGACATTTCTTTCCCAGCTGGCTACATAAATCTCTGTTCCTTATTCCTTTGCTTTTAGAACCAATTCTTTTATTTTCCTGCAGGTTTGTTCATGAAATAAATACTTGTTGAGATAAAGTTAGAAAAAATGGACACACATGGTAAGAAATAAACTTTGTGCATTTATATAATGATGAAAGACATTAGGAGAAGAAAGAGGAAGCACTAACATTTTTATCCCCAAGGCACCTCCTTTAATTAGAGGCACTTTTCACCAGTGAAATATGATCTGTCTTTCCTGTGAAGCCTGACCGAACAGGACTCCATTACTGTCACTGGCTTCCCTTCATCAATGTTTCACGACCCAAGTGGATTATGAATCATAGGATGCAAAGGGCACCATACATCAGGAAGAAGAAAATCTCTCAGGATTCTAGACTTACAGTTTATGGTCTCTTCACTACCTAAAACAGTAAATGTAAATACAATCTTACTGTGCAAATGAAATTTTGTTTTGATAGGACAGTTACTATTTAGGTAAATGCTATTTCCCACACTGTTAGGAAAGCCTTATGTTATTACTAATTTGAATGTTAGCTACCTCACATTTTAAAGCCATTTATTTTTCCTAAGGAAGCATAAAATAAATGCTATAAAATATAAGTAGATACTGAATGTAAACAAAGGCAGTTTGCAAGCTGAGGGTAGTATACATCTAAAGGTTCTCAAACATTTTAGCAGTGTGCCGAGGCATGCTGATTTAGGACTGAGAATGAAAAACAGACTAAACACACAGTCAAGAACAGCCTTCATTTTGAACAATGTATATTTTTTTAACATCTAATTTCATTATGGGCAAAACTGTAATATGGAAAAACATAAATAATGCTAGTAAACTGCAAATATTTCTTAATATTTAACTAGAGGAATGATAAACAAGACAGTTACCCCTGTAAGTTTGACTTACAGCTATTTTGGTAGCACAATGGCTGTAATAGCTGTTCTCAAGCTTTAGCGTGCATTAGAATCACCCACAGGTCACCTTCAGTTTGCAGGGCTCCCCCCCTTGGGTTTCTGAGTCAGTAGGTGTGGGGTGGGGTATAGAATTGTCATTTCTAACAAGTTCCCAAGTGATACTGACACTGCTGGTTTAGGGACCACACTGTGAGAACTGCTGATCTAGGAATTGACATTATGTGTATGTGGGTGGAACTCTGGAGTTCACAAATATACTTTGACGTAGTCATTTCTTTCCTTCTTTGCATGGTTTTGAAAAATGCTCTACAATTAACAGTTACCTCCTGGAAGTGCTTTGGCTTTAAAAACAGCATTTTAATTCATTTAAGCTAATTGGATTTTAGGGTATTACAGTCTCCAAAGAAGGAAAGCATTTAATTCCCCCAGCTGTTGATTGCACTGAATGACTGGCTCTAGGTGAAGGGAGAGAAGAAAGAATTAAATAACTCTGAAAATAATATTATGCTTTATTTTCTTTATTCAAAATTATGACTGTGATCAAAACAGTCATATGATCAAAACAGTCAAATATGATTTGCAAATGACTGTATTTGTGGCTGTGGTTGTCCTAGCATAATTTTCTTGGCTAACATCTAAAGCCATCATTCATAGTTCCTGATACAATTAATAGATATCTTCCACCAAAACACATTTTAAAAAGGCTCAGCATCTTTCTGAAGGAATTGGAGGAGAAAAGGGATTTGCTTAACTGTAGAGAAGAAAAATATAACAACTAGCAGAGATATATAACAGTCATTAAAAACAGTCTCTCTAAAGTCACTTTGCCTGGGGTCAAATCCTGGTTTACCATTTACTATTAATGGTGACCTTGGACAAATTACTTAACCTTTATAATCCTCAGTTTTTTGGGAGGGTGGGGCATGCCACTTGGTTTGTGAGATCTTGTTGTTGTTCCATTGCTAAGTCCTGTCTGACTCCTTGTGACCCCATGGACTGTAGCACACCAGGCTTCCCTGTCCTT